TTTTCTTACTAAAGGTGCAGATACCCTGTTAGCAGAAAAAAATACATTATATAAAAAGATATTCATTGAAAGATGAAGCAACAGACCCGAATGTGAAATCCACAAGGATTTTGTTTGTAGTAGGGTTTTCTTCCTTTCTATCAATACGGCCATACTCTGTTATTTAGCCACCGTGTTAACGAATCCATATTTCTCTTCATTTCATCCCGTGCAGAGATCACCATGACGGATTTGGAGGCTGCCGGACTGGAGGCGACGGTAGTGCTCACTCCCTCCGTGGCTGGCCTGGACTCCATGAAGGACAGCATCGGCAGGAAGGGCGGCCCGAGGCGCGCCTTGAGAACCGCGAAGGGCATCAAGAGGCACCTGGAGAGGCTCCGGTCCATCCCGACTTTGACCGCGGATGATAAGACGGTGCTCTACTGCAACGAATGCGTGGTGGGGCAGCTCGAATTAGAAGGTATGAGGAAAGATTGTGCGATTCCGTTGTTTCGAATTTCGTTTTCTGATCTCCTTTATACTGTGTATGTGCAGATAAATAGAAAAGAGATAGATGGATGAAAAGTCTGTTAGACAGACATACAGATACATGCATACGTACATACACAGACACTTAATAGATTGATTTATTCATATATATATATATATATATATATATATATATATATATATATATATATATATATATATATATGGGTGTGTGTTTTATTTTGTTTTATGTTCCCTTTTTAATTCTCTCTCTCTCTCTCTCTCTCTCTCTCTCTCTCTCTCTCTCTCTCTCTCTCTCTCTATATATATATATATATATATATATATATATATATATATATATATATATATATATATATATATATATATATACATATATATATATATATATATATATATATATATATATATATATATATACCTATATATATATATACCTATGTATATATATATATGTGTGTGTGTGTGTGTGTGTGTGTGTGTGTGTGTGTGTGTGTGTGTGTGTGTGTGTGTGTGTGTGTGTGTGTGTGTGTGTGTGTGTGTGTGTGTGTGTGTGTGTGTGTGTGCGTGCGTGCGTGCGCGCGCACGTTTGCTTTTGTTTTTAATGAATATACCTCACATTTTCTTTCCTTTCAGGCGGTGAAATCACGAGCCAGAGCATCGGCTACAAAGAACACGAGACGTACATCACTACCTTGGCCATATCCAAGACCGAACCAGTTATGGTTGCCACAGCGCAGGTATGTCTTGCTTTGTATTTTCCTTCATTCCTTCCTTGGTATGTTTAGGTGACCTAAATTGGATATTTTATTAATATTATGTATCATTTACTACATGTCTTTTTATTTGTTTACCTTTGTATATACGATGACCATTTTTTAGGAATATATTTAATTCGCACTCAGCACGCACCTGTATCGAAATTATAAAGTTTTGATAACTATTATCTTATTACGTTTTGATTATCATTAGTCAGATAGCGATCTGCTTGAATTACTTGTCAATAGCCATGTTTGTGATGTTGTTTTCTCTCCCCTTTTTCTTCTCTCCTATCACTATTTCTCTCTCTTCTCTCTTCTCTCTCTTTCTTTCTCTCTCTCCCACTCTCTAATTCTTCCTATCAGAAGCCTTCATGCGCACAGAAAATTCGGAGTTATGTATCTCTTTGCTAAGGATAAGGATAAGCCAGATATGCAAAGTTGAACCTTGCCCGGGTATTAGTCAACCTGTGCCGACTAATGCCGACTCCATTACTGTCTCTTTGCTGACGGCGACGGCTTTTTTCCACGACCCAGTTAGCCGTGGAGAGCGAGGAGGGCGCGGCCTGCGACACCGAGGCCGCCCTCATTCACGTATGGCGGCCTGTCGACGGCGCCAACGTGGGGGTGCTGCGCGGCGGCCCCGAGAGCGTCATCATTTCCCTCAGCTTCTCCCCGAGCGGCAGGTTTCTTGCCTCTCTCGCTGACGCTTCTGTTGTTCATATTTTTAACTGGACTAAAGGTATGCAAGTGAAATCCGATGCGTATGGACGAAAAGGCTGCGAGAAGTCCTGCATTTAACTAGATAATAAAAACGGTACTGTTGCTTCAAGAAATTCATATACACCCTGTTTCTTTTGTCAATATGGGTTACCGACATGGGATAACTAAGCGGGCATTCGTGATGGACAAATATGGCAGACATGATGGCATGAAATATCATGTATGTAGGGGGATGTTTAAAACATCGTCTGAGCACTGGGAGTATGGGAACTTTGAAGCAACTGTACAGATATGTCTGAATACATTGCTTTTAGTAGTGTTAGAACTATAACTCTTTTTGCATGATTGAAATGATCGCTGTATTCACTAAACTGAATACGTAATTGTTGCTAAAAACTGTATCTAGATGACAAAAAAACAGGGATTCACGTGTCTCCACTCTACAGGGGCCCATATCGCATCCACTGAGCTGAAGGTCGGGATGGCGACGTCTCTAATGCACAGCGGAGAGGCCACGTTGGCTGCGCTCACGCCTAGGGCTATCCTGTTCCTCGATCTCGTCGGGAACTCTCTCGTCACCACGCGCGGCCAGGCGCCCCCGGACCTCCTGCCGGAAGGGGCGGCGTTCAGTGGCCTCGGGGTCTCGCCAGTTAGTACTTTGGTTTTAGCGAGTTAGTGAGGAAAGCTCAGAGGGAAGGAGGGAGAAAAGAAATGAAGGAGAAAGGAAGGAAGGGAGGGAGGGAGGGAGGGAGGGAGGGAGGGAGGGAGGGAGGGAGGGAGGGAGGGAGGGAGGGAGGGAGGGAGGGAGGGAGGGAGGGAGGGAGGGAGGGAGGGAGGGAGGGAGGATGGAAGGAAGAAGGGAGAAGGGAGGGAGGGTGGGAGGGAGGGAGGGAGGGGTGTGGGGGGGAAGTGAGTAAGATGATGATAGATATCGGCAGTTATTTTGAGTGAGTAGGAATGGGAGTAGAGAAATTGGAGGATAGTTGAGGTGTAGATATGTTATCTTGGGTCATGATTAGATAGTTTTGAATGTCTTCGAGAGTTTCCACAGCGGAGTCGGTTGGGAAGGTCAGACACAAAGGTTTCCTTAGGGGGGAAACCTTTGTGAGGGGTGGAGAGAGAGGTTGATGGAGAGGATAGGGTAGAAGGTGGGATAAGTTAGGTTTGGTGATTAAAGAGTAGATGAGATGGGGGTGTCTGGACTTAGAATGGCAAAAGAATTTGACTGGGAGAGGGGGGGGGTGGAAATGGAATGAGGAAAAGATGCTAGGGGGGATGTAGAAGCATCTTGGGAGGAAAGGGGAAAGGTTGAGCGATTATTAGAGTAGGGAGTGAGAGAGAAGCCTAGTCGACGTGCTTCCTGTCTGGCTTCGTGAAGAGCGAGGCCAAGTCTGAATCTGAGAATTGCCACTTTAGACTCAAACTTGCAGGTAGGGCAGCTCCTATCATATTTTATGGGATCCGACACAGCTGACACATGTGCGTGACTGTGCAGAGTAGGTTTGGTTGATTATAACCAGGTTTGGCACATAGACGGCATCGGATTGTGATGATTGCAGTGTTTGGCAGGATGGCCTAGACGCCAACGGTTCAGACATTAACGGGGGGGGGGGGGGGGGCCGGGAGGTTGATATGGTCGGACAGGGAGGGATTTTCCGCCAATGTAAATATTAAAGAGAAGGAAAAGAAAGAGAAAATGAGAGAACAAGAAACAGAAAGAGAAAGAAAGAGTTAGACACTACACTAAGACCATAAATGTATACCCTGTACTCTGCATATACACCACTGCATAATCTATTCCCAGGTGAAAGTAATCTAAAAGTAATAGATTACAAATCGCAAAAGTAAGCGAAGTAATATATATCAAAAATTAATATCGCCCATCTCTACCGTCTGTTTTTTCTCTCTCTATCTCTTCGTCTACTATTTTTATTTATGAGAGTATACACTCCTATAAATGTGAAACAAATATTTATGTATAGATAGATATATAAATAGATATACTATTAGCTCCCAAGAATGCCTCGCATCTTTACTTCTGTCCTCCACTCAGAGCGGGCGCGTCTACGTGGGGACCAGCGACGGCAGTGTGGTGGAGTGGACGGGCCGCGTCGCCACCCGCTACGTGTCGCCGCCTGACGATCCCCCGACGCTGGCTCCTGTCCGCTTGGCTATCGCGGCCGGCCAGGGGGTCATCTTCACGGCTTGCAGGTATAGAGGATAAGCATGTTTATAGTAATCTATTTCGATAGATGTTTGCAACTGGCTATTGTACTTAAGAACCTGATCTATATAATTTTATCATATATTACTTATAAATTAATTTCATTATATATTACTTTCAGTAGAGTACATATTTACAACGTGAATATTTCACAATGTTAGAGTAATTATTCTCTCACAAAGTAGCTACATCATTTCCAATTATCCTTCCATTTTAATGTTTTACAGTATAGAGCTGTAGAACGAAGCCCCGGTGATACTCAAACCTAAATTAGACCATGTTCAGATCCATCCTATATCCTTACGATCGTCTTTTATGTCTTCCCTTACTCATACCATCTTCCAGAATATATACTATTTTTCCCATTCTAGACTAGATTCCGCCGTCGTGGTTAGATGCTACACCACAGACACACCCAAACTGACGTTCTTTTCGGATTCGCTGATTGAGGCTCCGTCCGAGGACTGGATTCCGACTTCTGCTCGCCTCGGGGCAGAGATCCTGATCCTCGGCGCACGCATGAAGCAACCCTTTATTGTCCTCGACCTCAAATCGGGAAAGTTTACCACGATCGAGTATGGCTGAAAGGCGTATGATCCTCTCTCGTGCCGTTTTACCAAATGGAATTATTCTCGGTTCAATAAAGATGCTTTTGAATTGCAACAAACTTCAGAGTAATATTTTTGCTTGTCATTCGTGAAACGTGTCGAAGTTTATATGCAAATGTAAATATTATGGCTGCACTTTTTTTGCTTTTATACAAGTACACACCTAGTTCTTTAAAGTATATAAGCAAACCAAAAACACTGTATTGGTTGTATTTATTCCAGGCTTTTGAGTACACCATTTTTTGGTATAGGCAAATAAACAAACTTGTAATTGAGTTGGTCAGTTATAAAATAATTATTTTGTCCTAAATTTCTTTTCCCTTTTCCTTTGCCAACAACTTACAAGCAGTGACTTTTTAGAGGTGCTTATCATTGATAAGTTATATGGGAAAATATGAAAATACCATACACAACGTTTGTGATGTCACTTTTTAAGTACTTGTAACTCCTCATAATTCTGATAAAACAGTGAACTCACTTGTGTTCACATGCCTGGTGAACACAATAAACTGAGATAATAGTACAAGAACTACAATTTCAAGTACTAAACTTTAAATAATTTACATGCATAAATACTACCTGAAGAAACAGGTAATTCAATGGTGTGGAAACTACATCATAAAAATATACTGTATGTTCTACTGGAAATCCTACCCTAACACAGTAGGATGAGTTACTCCCATACTAGCAAGAGCTCAGACATAACATTTTCTGTTAGGTTTCTACTACCATCATAAGAAATACTCTCTTTTAAACAAAAGTTCAAAATCTAGTATATTACTTATTTAGAAAAAAAAAATATATGTAAATAAAAAATAAAAATAAAATGCTATGCTAAAGCCTTGCATTGGCCAAATGGGCCTAGTAAGGGTACAAACGAGAAATCTCCAGGTTCCAGCACAGTTGTCAGTCCTAACTTTCTACCCATGACACTTTATTACACAAAAGGCATTCCCTTCCCTCTGACAAATAGAAGATTCCTCCTAAGGCAAACAAAAGGTCTTGGTGGAACAAATCATCTTTTGTGCTCATCTGGCATTTCTTTTGCAAACATAATAACCCTTGTTGAACAATTTCATGTTCACCATAGCGGACAGCAGACTTCTCAGATGCACCTTATGTTTCTACTATTCTTCTCATATAACCACAATAACACTGAATGACTTAAAGGGCTTGAGGTGACAAACATAGTGAAAATTATATTGTTACCATGGTAGACTATCCGAGATACAAATATACAGCCACAATATAGTGGATTCAAAATCAAAATCTAATTTTTTACTTCAAAACAATGAGTTAACCAACTAAATTCTATATATACAGAGTAGCATATGGTCAATAAATACTACACAGATCTGTCACCTCTTCTTCAATTTTATGAATGTATTTCTAGAGTTCACTGGTAGGCCATCCATTGGATTTGGCAATGGCTATGTCAGAATATCAAAATCTTGTACTTTACCTCTTACTGACAAGCCATGTTCCAGTTATTTCCTATGTGTACTCTTCATTCTACCTAATATCCAATGTGGGATTGGGAAGGTAATGCAAGAATTATGCAAAATGAACCTAGGCCCAATATCACTAACACTTCATTTCCATACAAGGCTGATACTTTGATCTCTGCAGAGGAGCTACATTCTTTTTCACACAAAATCAATCAAATTCTGTGTATATCTTTCAATAATATTAGACTAGTAAAGTCTGACTTGTCCAAACATTTATTCCTCAAACAGTATGAGGCTTTATCTGGCACTGACCTACAACAATGTACAAATCTATTTACAAAATCTGGTGGGGAATGTTCTATCACCAACTAATTGGATAAGTCATGGCAAAAGAATCTGTCCAAATCCAGGAGTGGTCCAAATTTATGCTACAACAGAATTATTACAAAAATAATCAAAAGGAAAAGAGATGATGGTGTAGATCAACGAAAATACTAAGTGTAATGACTAAAACCACAAGTTAACTATACAAAACTTTAGCACATCTTTGGTGGCAAGCAAGAGGAGGCAGGGGAAAAAATTCTGTTATAATATGCAGATTTAGAAACCTCTAAATCCTATGATACTTTCACCTATATATTTAATAACCTAATTTGAACAACCTCTCTAGGCCAAGTATCTGATATGGCAAATTCAATCACACAATAATTCATTGTTAACGGACAACTGTTGTACAGCAGATTGAAAATGACAAGACAAATAAATAACAAAAAAGATTCCCCTATATTGTAAATGCATTTCCTTCTTAATATTCACATTGTAAACATCTCCACAGTTTCTGCCTGTGTAGGATCACTAGGGTCTGTAAAGAGCTGCAATGGCTCAGCCTTGACAATGGATCCCTTCCCACCAAGACTGTCTGGACTGAACTCTTCACTACCAATGTGAGAATGTTCGGCAGCAAACTGGGCATATTCTTCATCTATTTCTTCCTGAGCCAGATGAACCTGCTGAAGGGCTTGTCCCCCTGTTGAAGAGGTGGAAACCATAGCTGTCCCATTGGAGGTCATGGTGCTTGTCACATTTTCTCCTGAGGCAGGCTGATGGGAACTCATGGAAGTTGCAGTCAAGAAGGAAGGAGCTGTTGTTGTGGCTGTGGTGGTGGACGTACTGTCCATCACCACAGGGATGGCATAGTACACACCTGTGGCTGCAGAATCTTCCCCAGCAACAAGAATAGTGGTACTGCCAGATACACTGTTCCCTAACTGATCCATCTGCTCTGCCACCTGAGGAAACAAACATAAAAATCTTAGTGCAACATAACATAGCATAGTAATATGTTTTTAACAGAATATTCTAAAGGCATTATGTAGGGGGGAAATACAGATATCTGTAACATCTTTTTTTTTTTTTTTTTTTTTTTTTACATTTTGAAAACATTAAAGACTTAATGATTACTAATAATATAAGGCAACAAAATGTATATACAGTATCTTAAATTGTTATTACATCTAATCTAAACACTGTTAAACATGAGATTGTTTTTCCTTTCTTTTTTGAAGTTTACCTAATACTGAACATCTCTACACACATAAGTCTATTTGCTTGATATAAATACAGGAAATTCTTTTGAAAAAGTGAATAATACAAAAGCAAATGTAGAGGAAGAAATCAGCACTGACACACATTTAGAAATCAACAAAGAATGCAGCATTGCATTATTCCATCTTTCATATCTATACCTCAGTATAGTTATGAAAGACTTGACTAACATTCATATCCATAACATTATAATAAGTAAAAGTTAAGGAATTAAAGAGTTTACACCCAGACTCTCACCTTAAAGGCAGATTCCACGATGCTTAATTCTTCTTGATCTCTTCGTTTTGGTGACTCGTCTCCTTCTTGCTTTACTTCTGCACTTAAAAAGTGGGCGTCAGTTATAGTTGTACTACTGGCTGAATTACGAGATGCTGCATTTGAACCCTTTCGAACTTCCCGCAATCTCCCAGAGCTTTTTCTAGTGTAAGTTTTAGTAGTTGTAGATGTTGTTGTCATGGTCTGACTTGGTATCAGATCAGATACACTTACTTTATAATAATTTAAAGATGGGTCCACTTCCTTGACTACAGGAGGTGGCAACTCTGGAATTTTGCCTTCCTTTCGTAATTTAGCTACTCTCGACTTGTACTGGTTATTTGTGAGACCATGAACTGAACTGTAATGGTCTCTCAGGCCTGCCCTGCCATCTAACATAGCATTGCATATCCGACATGGAGTATTTTGTATCTCCTGCATATTGTGCATTGTCCGCAGATGTGTCCGCAGATGCACTTTCTGCACAAACCCTTTGTTACAATAATCACATTTGAAAGGCCTCTCTCCAGTGTGAACTCTCACATGCATCTCCAGTTGCCCCTGGCTTGGGAAGTTCTTGCCACATATATAACAGTTAAGTCCACCATCTTCCTCATGCATCCGAACCATGTGAGATTTCAGAGAATCAGTCCGGGTGAACACCTGTAAAGATAGGAACATTTTATTAAACTTCTCATCTACTGACATGTATATACTGAAAATGACATGTTTGGTACAGTGGTGGTACAGGCATCTGATTATTTTCCACTATAGTCCATTCTTATCTCTCTGAACTATGGGAGACAAATTTTCATTTTTAAGTTCCAAGATCATCACAATCAAACATCACAATCCATCTCTTACTTTCTGACAGACTGGACAAGTAAGGTTGCTTGACTCTTCGTGATCATTTACAAGATGCTGGTGAAGAACGTGACGTTGTGGGAAGGTTTCATCACAATATGGGCATGGAATGTCCTTTACTTCTAAGTGAGATTTCATATGTACACGAAGAGTAGTGACAGACCTGCAAAATCAATCAATCAATCAATCAAATCAAATAAACACAGAAATACACAAAATAACATATTTCAAAAATACAGAGAAATATTCATTCACTCGTTTTATTATTTCAAAATGGTAACTTTGTCTTGATATATAAATGCAGATGTTTCAACAATGCAATTCCTCATGTTGATTCACTATTAAACCCTTCCTTACCAATCATTCGCATTTATGTAGTCAAACCATTACTTTGCCATTCCTACCAAGTCCATAACCATTGCTTGCCATAAGGAGCGGTATACTCTATTACCTAACTCAAATTATTTCCTCTTTTTCTTTTTTGTCAACTGATTACACACACATCCCATGATATTTTGCATGTAATAAATTAATGATAAAAATACATACATCTTTAATATTAACCAATTAGATTCAGGTGACATAAATGTCCTGACGAAAAAATTTGCCCATGGGGCATATGACTGGAAAGTGTTATCATGAAAAAAATGACTGAGGGCCAGAATATCATGCCATGGGAAATTGTTACAGAGTATCAGACAACAACTAAGTCTCATTGGTAAATGGTGGAGTGTACTATCTGTGAGCCATGCCTGAAAGAACCCTATCTCCATAGATGAAAATATGTCCACATGCAGAACTTTCTCCAACCAGATTATCTGAGTTGCAAAATGTTAAAGAAAACTGAATAATACAAAAGCATAAAATAATAATACAAATAACACATCATTACTTATTATTCCTGCTGTGGCATAGTGTATACACTACCTGAAGAGAGAATATGGAGTATTCTCAACAAAATACATAAAGCATTATAAATGGCTAAAACCTTCCTTGGAAAATTGCAATACATCAAAAATATATCTCCAGGATATGAGCTAATGGTATTGCAAAGCAGAGGCAAGGAAGTCTGATACCACATGAGTGTCTGCGCATCCCTGGCCTACAAGCTGCACCCTCAAGAGTCCCCATATAAGTAAACCTAATGCCCAGATTTTCATCTAAGAGCCAAAGCAAGTCACTCAGATCCAACAGGTTAATCTGTATCTGCCAGGCCATGCCTATAGCCATCATAACAAACTCATTACACTGGGTATGGCTATAGGCACTGCAACACACTAAAGTGAATTGATCGTAGCAGACTCACCGGAGTCAGAGATTTCTGATACAGTCATTGATGGGTTAAAAATTATGAATCACTAACTTTGCTACAATAATGAGGTACAAAACTGTGTGTGCATGTGCAACATTTGTAAGTTTGGTATGGGGCAGGCATAAAGAGTAAGCATCTTCATCAAAACACACATTCATATGGAACTACACAAATGCCTTTGCATCAAAACATTTTCATTCAAGTAATCTATCTGTAACCTACTCAGCTCTCAATCCAAGGTTTCCCTTATTACTTTATCTCACTCACGATTCTAAGCAGTCATAAAGTAAACCATTAATTAGTAACTGTTGTAATATCACAGATAAAATTTAACTTCCCCGTGTGTGGAATTACTGAGAATAACCAAGGAGAGTTAAGGCTATTGATTCAATATTGCTAAACAAGGTCATGAAATTGTATAATTTGATATACCACTCCTAATCAAATTCTAAATTCACTTGAACTATCATCATACCTAAATTCCTTGCCACACTCATCACATGGAATCCCAGGCTCATCTTCTGCTGTCCTTGGCTGTGATCGTCTTCCCGGCTTCTTTGAATTTGTAGTTCTATCTTTGAGGGTGGTAGGGAAATCCATTACCTACAAGAAGAAAAATCATGTGAGAGTCATTGGGTAAAATCAACCTAAACCAATCAACAATCAATCTTCTGTGAAATAACCATGGTATACGGTAATCACGTTACTGTTTTTCATATGAGCACGATTATAAAACTATTGCCTTGAAGAGTTCTGAAAAATTGGGTGGCCATTGCAAAGAAACAGAAAAGCACCTCCTTTAACCTGCTGATGCTGGGAAGGCATGTTTACATCTTTACAATTATCATTGTTAATCCTTTGATGCCATTACCCACTGTAATTTTAGTTTATTAATATTGTTTACAAACATATGGCTCCACAAACTCTTAGTCACCAAGAAGACAATTTTTAGACCTACTTGATCTTGCCTATACCTTGAATTTTCAGAGAGGTTTTCATTTTCATTATCATTAACAATCTTACAGAACTATCACAAATAATCACACTGAGAACAATAATAACAGTATAAAGAAAATCAAGGAATGGGGAAACAAGTAAGCACAGGTAGGCCTCATAATTGGTTAAGCACTTATAAAGCCAACCATTTATAATAATAACAATTATAATAACAATAACATCACTACCAATAATACTAGAGTCAGTTCAATCTGGATATATAGAAGGCCACCTCCCATTTTCATTAGCACCTCAGACAAACAGTAAATAAAATAATACTTTAAGGTCTTTTAATTCTCCAAATATTTTTTGCATTACAAATAATCCTTTAATATAAATAATCCTTAAAGCTTCCAAAATAAAGATCATTATTTGTTTTTGGCCAATGCAAATAATAAGCTAAAAAATGATCACTGATTAGCTGTGACCACTGAAGCAGTAGGAAAACTGTGTTGCGAAGACTAACTCTTCTTCCACCAGAAATAGAGGCTTTAACAATTATCTAAACTTTCTGATCAAAGTTGCCTGTAACAATATAGTTAATGTTGCATGAAATAAGTAATCATGAAATGAGGAAAATGCTAACTAGAAAAGGAGCAAATACTGTTATATAACTCAAGAGTCAGATCTTATAACTATTTATGTAATACTTCCTTGGCAAATAGCCCACCAACCATAATTCCAGAGGAATAAGATGTCCAACTCTAATTAAACTTTCCAATCATATCTGCAAGTTCTTATGTAATGAATAATGTACATACATACATACAATTGATGAAATCTGTAAAATTGAATAGAGGAAATATTATCAATTCAACTTAGTATCACTATCAATCACTCTAGTATCAATATTAATCACTCTTTAGTGACTGCACACTTATGAAGCCATATATGTGTAAACAAAATATATAGGACAATCCACAGTCTACAGTGAGCTCATGGATAAATAATATCTGACTTCGGTTTCAAATTTCTGAATCAATTTCCACCAAGTGCCCATGGGGAGTGTGTAAAACCTCGCTATTATTACTCATGTATGAGTAAATAGGTAATGTCTATGGAGCTAGTTAGATCCTTGTTGCACACTCCTTTTGTGGGTTGCGTGGCATGGTTGGTTTAGTACTGGCCCTCCGGTCTCATACCCAGAGTGACCTAGGTTCGAGGCCAGGTCAGGGAGGATTGTTATATATCTATATCAATGTGGCATTGCATTATTCCATCTTTCATAAGGAAAGTATAACTACCAAGAAATAAGTACTTACATCATCATCTTCTGACAGCTAGGGGAAAAATAAAAAATAAAAATTGGATCAACTAGAATTCAAGTATATGGATGCATGACAGGTATGCCTGAAATGACATAAAACTAAACATACAGTATTCTTCCTTCTACTTTGATCTATACTGATGCAATACATTCTTCAAAAGGGTACAGTGATATATAACAGTTTCTCTTCAAAAGGGCACAATGATCTATGACATCTAATACATAGCCCTCAATAACTCTACCCAAATCTGATTTATTCAAAATTCATCTGACTTGACTGTTTAACAGTTTCACATTAACCCATTCCTTCCTATCACATCATAGCAAAAATTTCAATGACACAGGGTGACATTTAATCTCATTATGAACCAGGGCCCTAGTGGCTGGCATGAAGCCTCAAGAGACTGACCTTGAGTTAGACACTAGCCTAGCAATGCATGTTAACTCACTCCTGGCTCAATAAACGTAATTTGAAATTCACACCTAACCCCTTTGTGATACTCTAAATACATAAATATAAAGATACAGTAAAAGAAGTGTCGATAAGCTGCTGGTATGGATATTAACGATCATATTCAAAGATACTTCGGGAACCATTTCCAGTGGAGGTCTGCTGCTACCACAGCTCTGATTGGATAAGAGGCAAGGCAGCTCGATAGTGATTGGCTTTGATATGAGTAAGATGGTAATTTGGTTGAGGGGCACAAGATAAATGTCTGGGCCTCCATTTAAGGTGTCCAGAGTGTTTTTGAATATGAGCATAAATGTGGCACTGTTTAACCCAATGGCACCGGGTGTACAAAACAACAAAAAAAAAAACTCTACGCTCTGGCAAACAAAGGCAGCGCGCCGACTTTGAGCACGTGAGTAGGGGACATTAGCCTGAATCACTGGCTCGCTGCGCTTTGGCGCATGCCAGCTTTTGAGCGGTTTGTTTTCACGCCGATCGGCGTTAAAGGGTTAAAAGCTTTGAATAAAAAACAGTACGTATAATTTTAGAAATAAAACTTAGACAATTTTTTTTCATGTACAGTAATATAAAATAATTAGTAAACCCTAGAGTTCTGTATAATGTTAATTCAGGTCAATCCTTCTGGACACAAAAAAAAGGGTCAGATAAAAAGTTTATAAACAACTTATTTTGAGCATCTAACATCCAGCAAAGGATTTCAAGGAGCGACATCTGACAACTGACACTGACATGACATAGCAGTGCACTGAACAATCACTTCTGTCTATTCTAATTCAATTTGAAAATAATATATGGACTCTATAGGTCAAAACCTACATTCTGAGACTATAAAACATCACAATCATTTCCCAGCATTCTGTGTAACCCACACCCACACTGTGATTGAATATTGGTCATGCACCCATTCAGCATTAAAAGACAGTACCATAAAGCAAATTATACTACTCGTATATTTAGAAACTGCTTCATACAATACTTACAAGATACCTCAAAAATTAAAATGAATAAACATACTGTAAGATAATTGGATATCACATACCTCAACAATTTCACCCTCTGGATTTTCTTCATCAAAATTGTCTTCGTCATCTTCCTCTCCCGGGAACTCTCCTTTCTGTGGTTGTTATATATCATGAGTCCAAAGGAAGTGATTGAGTGATTGAGTGAGTGAGTGAGTGAGTGAGTGAGTGAGTGAGTGTGAGTGTGAGTGAGAGTGAGAGTGAGAGTGAGAGTGAGAGTGAGAGTGAGAGTGAGAGTGAGAGTGAGAGTGAGAGTGAGAGTGAGAGTGAGAGTGAGAGTGAGAGTGAGAGTGAGAGTGAGAGTGTGAGTGTGTGGTGCATACTTTGTGAGACGCTTATTTATATCTTCACAATCATATAACCCAACTGGTACTTCTAACTTCGAAACATATACATTAGAGAGTAAAAAGAATATAATCCATAAAAAACTAATTTTACTTGTGCATTAGACAATTCCTGCTTACCAAAATATTGTTTGTTGTGTGGGCACCATTGGTCTCTCCTTCCCTTTCATCCTCTTCAACCTCCTCATACACTACTTCCTGCACTATAAGTTTCTTTCTGTAAATGGGAATCAAACTATAATCTTCACTTTACCGGGGACATATGATACGCTTTTTAATTTTTTTCTACTTGAACAAGAACTTGATATCATCCACTATTTTTCATATAACAATCTGGTCATTTGTGTATACAGAGGATCTCTATTATTCCTCATTTCACTCTTACATCATTGACGTTTTGTGGAGCATCATTAGTCACGTTTCACCCTTTGTGGATGCATCATTAGTCACCTTTCACCCTTTCACCATTAGGGTTTCAAAAGTTTGCATGTCCACAAATAAACAAGAAACTAATACGAAACAATGAATAAAAGCAGCTACATTGTTAAAACGAATGAAAATAAAATAACGTCAAGAATATGTATACACTTGAAAGCTCACGTCTACTTGGTGACCAAGGACTTAAATAAAGAAACTACCTTGAAATCTCACCTTATTTTGACATGCTTTTTAGGTGTTGAGAAGCTGTTTGTTGGAGGACATATAAAGCCATCTGGTTCAGCGTTCATGATTAAAGGACCTGAGGACTTCTTAGATGGAGGCGGAACCATCATGATTTCTTCGTCCTGAAGCTGAACGTTTGTGTCGTTCTCCTCCATATCCTCTTCATCATCCATTGAAAGGGGTCTTTTGCCTCGTCCACGGCCTCTGCTTCCCCGGCTTTGGAAATAATGCCTGCAAATTATATATGTA